CATATTTGTTTGGTGTGTATATGTGCAATTGTACATGTGTGTATACATTCATTTGCATATTAGTCTATTCACCTATTATGTACATATTTTAGATACATGCCTGGGGAAAAAGGCAATACCGTTAAAATGCCATGGTGCACTATTCGATAGAGGCTTAACAGTCGTCGACGAATCATTCTATATGCGATAGTCATGCTAAAGACGCGATGTTGCAACGGTATATCTCCTTCAAGCAAGCATGATTAATATACCCATTGAATTTGCGTACAAGTGGCATCACAATACATTTTAGAAACTATAACACCTCACTAAAGTATATGTCTGCCTGTGTGCGTACCTATATATCCCCATTGCCTCCGGGACAAGATTCTAGTATGTAAACTCTATATTATACGCAGTGTAGCAGTTTACCAGACAAACGCGTGTTACCTGTGGCATGGGGCTGGCGGGTGCAGTTGAAGTGTGTGTTGTAAGTGAACACTGGTCAACGAGATGTATGCCTGTACTGCACGCGACGGCTGGTTACCACTTCACACAACTGGCATAGCATCGCTGATGATTGGTTTATATGTGTAGTTAAATGCGAATACCCGTCGATAGCAGTACATTTGAATCACGGTATGCCCTTCGCCTGGGCTGTAGTCGATGATTGGATACATACACAGACCCGCCTAGGTACATGCACACACGGGTGCCTCTATATTTGCGTACACGCATCCGCATGCTGACCAGCAACCATACTCAACCTGAAACCCTAATACCCTAAAACCCTAAAACCCCTTGTTGTCACGTTACACACCCGGTGCTCAGCCTACTCCCGACGCTGAAAGATTCTATCTCCTCGGAAGAGACCAGTTTGGTTGTGTCCGAAGCTCGGAGTTCCGTGAGAGAGGGGAGTGTGGAGGACATTGCCGCGGCGAATTTGGGCCTAGTGGATTTACTGGCAAGCTCAATTGTGTTGGCCATGACGACAGCTAGTACAGGCACCTGAATAAAACCTCATTGCAACTACGTGTAGATTGTCTAAAACCCTAAAACTTGACTTCCGGCATCGCTGTGTGGACAGAGGGAATCAAATACTCGTGCGAGTGTGTGTTAGTATTTACAGACAAGGCTTTAGGCGTTGTTTTGGATGTCAAATTTTACATTCATTAATGGATCCATTCGTCCGTATAGATACACTTAATAACCATGAACTAGACTAGCCTGTATTACCGCGGCTGCTGACTCATACAGCAGACACAGAGAGATAGGATACTTGGGACTAAATGATATACTTTGTCCTTATTCCTTGCAGGTAGGGCTTCAACAGAGAGCCTGTCATAGACAGTGCAACAAGACGTCACTATATTTATAGTTTATTCTCGGATAGATATATGTATGATAAAATTTACAATCAACAGACCACCCGTCTGTATTGTTGGCATAGTTTTTGAATGCAGAATATACGCTGCACTATACGACAATCTCAGCAATATAGTAGCACTATCCAGCCGAAACGCCATACCATAGAATCCGCTACAGACGCAGAAACCAATGAAAACAAAATAAAAATGTAGAGAACAAAAGAAACAAAATATGAAGGCAGTGTGCAGACCTACACAATAGCATCACAGATTTAGGGATTTCTTAAAACCTTAATAACATCACAGTGTGGCTCTGATATCCAGGTAAGCCAAGGATGACTTCGTGAGGGGCATACTTATTCGCGGGGCCCGAATTGATTTCCCAATGTATATCGTGAATGTCATGGTGGTCGTCGAACGAAAAATCATGTGGGAATACCTAAATATAAATCCATAAGCTATTAATAAATAAAGTTTAATGAAGCAAACGGATTGTTCGACGCAATACAGTATGAGAAATACCAAATAAACACACGAGCCATTAATAAATGAAATGCACCAGGTTGTATGTAGCAAGCAGGTTGTTCAATACAGTATGAGATTACCCTATCAACCCATATGCTATTATATATAATATACATACATTCATACATCAATATATATTTTATATATATATATATATATATATATATATATATACTAATATGTGGTAGGTG